ATCTCTCTATCTATCTATCATCTATCTATCTATCTATCTATCTATCTATCTATCTATCTATCTATCTATCTATCTATCATTATCTATCTATCTATCTATCTATCTATCTATCTATCTATCTATCATCTATCATCTACCTATCATCTATCTATATCTATGTTTATAATCTCTGACTTACAAATTTCCTGTCTTGGATTCTATCTTTAAAAAATCATTTTTGAAAGAAAGATGAGCATTTTTGTGCTCTGTTAGATTTTAACTTAGCATTTTTATTTAAAATAATGCAAAACTGGAAATATCCTAAAGGTCTCAAAATTACCAAAAGGTTCGTTGTGGTATAGCCATGTGACTTAATGTTAAGCTGCCACCAAAAAGATATTTAAAGGATATCGGATGGCATGGGAATGTGCTCATGATACAGTGTTAAGTGAAATAAGCAGAATGTAAATTTGAGGATCTATTATAATCTCAGTTTTATATAATAAGATCTTTGATGGGAAGAAATGTCAGCAAACTGTTTACAGAGGTTCATTATAGCTGGAAGCACTATGAATTTATTTTATTCTCTAATTTCTATTTTCTTTTGTATTTTCCAAATTTTCTACAGTCAGCATGTACAAGTTTTATAATCAGAAAAAAGCAGTTTAGTGAAAACAATGCACCCCCTCATCAACTTTCTGGACACAGATAAAATAGTCAAGAGACAGAGAGCAGGTTAAGACATTCCTCCTGACTGCTCAGAAGCAAATTCATTCTTATCCACTGGATAAGCCAAGTATCACACAACCACACACCTTCCCTGGACACCAAAGCTCCTACCTTCTAACCCCTGTGAGCACAGCCTTGCTGGAGGCTGTGGCTTCAGAGGCATTTCTCCATCCCTGCTGTCCCCATACCTTTCTTATAAGGTCCACCAATAGAGCACCACTCTTGGGCTGGTCCCTAGGGTAGTAAAAACTACTGTAATAAGGGGGTGAGAACTGTAATAAGTGGGTGAGAACTGACAGTCAAGTACACAGACTCCAGCATCGCAGACTCAAATGCAGTTCTTACTTTCAGGCCGCCCTAGTCGGCCATGGCAGCCAGACCCACTTCTGTGCCAAGTCTGCTAATGGTTTCTAGAAGAGCCTATATGTGTTTCCAAATGCAGGTATTCCCCTGGGGTTAGGTTAAGATCTTTTCTTCTCACCACCTCAAACCCCTGCTTATTCTAAGACCTAAGTTTATAGAATTACAGCCTTTTTATCTAATAGTTTCCATAAATAAAGTTTCTAATCCAGTGCCCTACAGTTAAAATAAGAGTGTTTTCTTATGTGTAAGGAGGTAGATGTATATCTAGTCTAGAAATGAAGAAAGGGAGACCCAGAGAAGTTATATAAACATCCCAAGATCACGCAAATAAATGACTGAATCAGTAGTCAAATGAGGGCTCTTGCTGGCCTCAGAGCCTATTCTCCTTCCATCTTTCCACGCTTCCTCCAAGTACCAGAGTTTTTTCTTTATGAAAGGAAATGGCAGCACTGTTCAGTAGACCCAAAGGACTGTCATTTTTACCTGAAAATACCTTTATTAGCTAAGTCAGTTAGTGATTCTCCTTTTCTCAGGCACTATTTTCATAGATTTGCGGTAAGAAGCAAAAGGACCTTAACTTGGGGTAAAGTAACATTTCTGCTTGGGTTATAGCACCATCATGTGGCTCATTTCTGCACACTGGTGGCTGCAGGATGTGGGAGCAACCTTCCTTGTGCACGCCAGGCTTTCTGCTGCTGCAGTTCACACGGAGACAGACTATTTTGCATATATTGCATTCAGAGATCTCCAGACTTTTCAGGGCCATATGTGGGTTTTGAAAAAGTCAAACAAATGATGTAACTTTTAAGACATTTAGGAATGCTTTCTCTGAACTCCTACAATTAAATGTAGAAACTTACAATTTAGTGTGCATTTAAAAATAAATGCATAACACTTTTGATTCATAAAAGCTAAATCCACATTTGTTTTTTGTTTGCCACTTTCTTGATATAAAGTAGGTTTTCTATACGGCCAACTTGGCTTAGGGAGGAGACACTAGGGAGAATGGTGAAGAACTAGTCTCCCTTCCTCCTCCAGCCATAAAACAGTGGGTCCCCTCCATGCAGAGTTGGTGGCACTTTGGAGTCAGCAAGTCCAAAATAAGATGTAAAAAACAGACACTGGTTTCTTATGATTAAAATGTCCTATCTCTATTCTCATATTTTAGCAAAAACAAAACAAAACAAAAACACAGGTATGTTAGAACAGCACCCAAGCAGAACTTCCACTTTGACTCAGGCATGATCTTGAGTATTGTCAGCAGGAAGTTTATCTCACTTATCTGAGTGCCCCTCCTCCCCGGGTCCTAGCTCACACAGGTTCTTGCACATAATAGATTCTTGGTAAGGGATCACTGAATGAGGGGTCTGCTGTTCCAGAATATGGAGGATGGCCCCTGGGAGTAACTAGATATATGTTCCTGGGCAGGTCTTTTACTTCTCTGGCCCTCAGTTTGCAAAGTGAAAGGGATAGATCAAGGATCACCAAGGTCTTCTCCAGCTCCGGCTTTTTTGGGTTCTAAGGACTAAGAAGAGAGTTGTGTAGATCCTGGCTCCTTAATTTCTACATAGCACTTGGAAAGAACTGGATATGCAATGACTAGATTGCAGGATTCTTAGTTCTTGAATATTGGAAATGAAGGCTCAGCTTTAGTCCTGAATTGCAGAGTTGTCAGATGGAGACATTATAGGCGACAGCAGTTGGAGGTTAACCCAGCTGAACTTCTTGTTCTGTTCCTCTGTATGACATTTCAGCAGTTTCAAAGAAGTGCTGTCACACAACCTGTGTGACTGTCCTGGTAAATGCTTCAAAGTCACCATTTGTACTTTTAGTTCTAATCTTTCCTAGCTTGTGCATGAAAGTTACGTCACTTGGTAAATAAGCAGAAAATGCAGTAACTGACTAGGTCAGATGCAGGCATACATAGCTAGTAATTTACATTAACTATCTACATATATCCCCTACTCTGATCCAACTGCGAGGTTTCTCTGAAACACCTTGAACCTTCTTTCATTTGGGTCTTTGATCAAGCTTTTCTCTTGGTCACAAACTCTCTCTTCTACCATCTTCTACCAACAAATCACACCCATCCTTGGGAACCAGATCAAACATCCTGCCAGGTCCTCCCACCTGACCTTTTTCTCAACAATGGGATAAAATCCCAGGCATCCTTCAGGACGAGGGCAAGCACCCTCTGGTGTTTCTTCCCACTGGTCTCCCTCCTAAGTGTGGGTCATTAGGAAGTGAAGTATCTTTGGAGTCAGGTACAAATAAACTCTGACTTCTCTTTTTGCTCCTTAGGCTAAGAATCTCAGCTTTCCATTTGTATAAATTGGGAGAAAAAATACTTACCTTACCTGGTTGTTTTGATTGCCTTCCACCTCACCACACACATGTCAGTATTTTTTCCTTTTCTTCCTCCTTTTCTTCCCTCCTTCCCCAACTCTGATAGCATTTTTGACCTAACTTGTGGAAAAGATGAAATTTTTCCTTGCATTTCTTTTGCCCCTTTGCTAGGTTGCATATAACCTTCTGGTGGATAAATAGCGTATGTGTCCCCTCACAGAGCTCAGAACAGTCTCTTTATTTACTAATAATTCAGTACATGCCTGTCAAGTGAATGAATATATTTCAGTCACTAATAGGTAAAAAGAGAGGACTTTTGGGCTGGCCTAGAGCATATGGTTTGTCCAGTGGGCAGAAGCCAAGGAGATGTGTAGATATGAACTTCCAGATAGAGCCTGATGTTCCTGAAAGGTAAGAGATCTTTGAACTCAGGCTTGCTGACTTACAGAGTCGTCCATGCCCAAGAGGACCAGCAATGGGATGGTGGTCATCCCTCCGTGGACCCATTCCTGTAGAGACACAAAGCCGTCCCGGTCGTAGTCCATCCCTTGCAACATCTCCTTCAATATCTGCGGAATCCACAGAGCAGCAATTGTCCACTTTCATCCTCAACTTCTCTGCTCCCGTTTCCCTCTTATTTCTTTTTGTTCTACACTGTCTGGCTTGTGTTTTACCCCCTTCCACTCTGATTCACAGTGAGTAGAGCAGTGAGGGATCAAATGGGGGCGAGGAGACCCAAGCTTCAGGCCCCGTTCTGTCTGACCTGACTGAGCGGCCTTGGGCAAGCCAGCCACCCCCACTCTGGGTTCTGTTTTGCTCATCTAAAAAATGGAAATAACATTGCTATGTATATAGCACTGTAGTGAGCATAGAGCAAAGGTATACAAAATGTACTTTTATATTAAAAAAATAAAATGATTATTATTACCTAGTGATGGAGGAAAATCTTTAAAATTCGTCCTAGCTCTAAATTCTTTGATCTATGAACTCCTGTCATAAAAATTTAGCTCTGATAAAGAGGTCAGAGGAAATTATCATTTTAATTATGTCCAGTTTCCTCAGCTGCCTATAGTTTTTCCTATCAGCAAAGTGGGAGGTCAAGGTGCAAAACCCCAGAGAAGCTGCCAGTGACAGATGAGCCTGGGAGAACCTGCCCATCTTTATCCTGAGTGTATCCCACTTTTCTCTTGGAAGCTCACTTGGAAGCCACCCCATGTTTCCAGAAACTCACAGGCCTTAGCTCCGTGGGATCCCACTCAAGATACTGGGCAATGTGCAGCATTTGGTTGACAATACGGTCCATCTCCTAGAAAACATCAAGGGGAGAAACCAACTGAAGATGTGTTTTTAAGAGCAAGGCTCAACACCAAACCCTGTGGGAAGACGGACAGGGCATTTCATGGGGAGCTCACTACTTGTTTCTGTTCTTTATTTCTGCCTTGATCACAAAGCTCAGTGAAGAGTAGGTGCTCACAAGGAGCACAGAATATGGCTAAGCCAGAGGTATGCAGAAAGCTCCCTGAACACTGACCTACTCCTAAATCCACCTAGACTCACCTCCCTTCCCCTAGTCTGGGCTTTCACTTAGCATAGCAGCACACCTGTCTTCTCCTTCTTTGTGATCTTAGCTCTCTCAAATGCTTACAAACCAAGGCAGTTCTCTACTCCCTTTCAGTCACTCTCCATTTCCACAGCTTCAGCAACTTGGGATCCATTAGACCCCTCAGAGGTCAGTTTCAGTTGGATGTAGGGCCACTGTGATAGCCCTAGTTCAGACTCCGTGGTTTAGATTCCTTTTGGCATCTCCTCTGCTTCCTTTGTATTAAGCGCAGCCCTGAACCCAGGACTTTGTGAACAGGAAGTTGATGAGGGGTTCACTGTACTAGTGAGTGAGCCTTTTGTTTGCTACCTAGTCCAAGCTCTTTCTAAAACCTCACAGAATTGCTGGATGCTAACGAATCCGGGCACCCAGCATCCCACTGAAACACACTAGACCAAGGAGGCATTTGCATCTCTTGGGAACGATCTAAGATGTTAATAGTAAGATCAGTGTGGGAGACACATTGGTGAACTGAAGCAAGGTTCAGAAATGTTACCTCCACTAGGTGGACTGCTGGGTTGAAACAAGTAAACTGAAATGCAACAGGAATTTTAAAAAACCCTGCATTTTATTTAAAATAAAAAAAATAATTCATTGCAAAACTGCAGATGAGGTGGTAGATGGAGGTAAGGAAGTAGGCAGAAAGGTGAGGACAGGGTTCTGCAGAAGTTTCAATGGAAAAGAGCCTGTGAATCCAGTTGGGACTAAGATTCAATGAGAAAACAATGTGATTCAGGAACTGAGAATTAGAGCCTTGAGCAGGGATTCTCGGTGGGAAGTTGAATCGGGTAACTCTTTGAAACTGCTTCAGTTCACTGATGTTACTTCCAAATACGTCTGAAATTTAACCGCTTCTTACTACCTGCAATACTTCTACTCTGGTACAAGTTACCATTATTTTTTGTCTTGCTGATTTCAATAACCTCCTACCTAGTATCCTTGCTTGCACCCCTACAGTCTAGACAACACAGGAACTAGAGTGATCCTGTTATAACCCAAGTCAACAATGCTACTCCTCTGCTCAAATCTCCAATGAGATTTATTAAAATCTCATTGAGTCTCAAGTTTAACATTGCCAATGAAGAGAGTTCTCCCTTTATCCAGAGTAAAAAGTAAACCCCTTCAATCACCTAAAAGGCTTGATAATGCTTTGCAAACTTCCTCTGATCTCATCTCCAATTACTTACTCACTCTGACTGCACCTATTCATTCATTCTGCTACAGTCACTCTGGCCTCCTAGTTAACCTGCTAACATTCCAGGTGCCCCTCAGGACCTCTGCACTCTCTGTTTTCTCTCCTGGAAGGCGCTTCCTCTAGACTTAGGTGTTTCCCCATGACTTATAGTCCCTCACCTTCTTCAAGTCTCTGTTCAGACATCCTCTCCTCAGGGAGACCTTCCTTGCCTCCTCCAGCTAAAACAGCAGCTCCCTCTAACACTTCCTCTCCCTGTCTTATTTTTCTTCTAGCACACATCTCTACTTAGCACATATTTTACTATGTTGTTCAGTGCGTGTGTTTGCACTAGAATGGAAGCGTCATGAAGACATGGTTTTTTTTTGTCAGTTTGCTCACTGATATATTCCCAGTGTTTAGAACGGGGCTTGGCACATAGCAGATAGTTTAAAATATATGTTGACCAAATGTGGGAGAGTCTGTGATTCCTTGGTTGCTCCCTCATATGACATAAACCACAGCATTGCAACGTGGCTGTAGGGCTCCCACAAAGACACTCCAGGGTTTGGAGGGAACTGGGGTGATCTAGTTGGTCTAGTGGGCTTCTTTCCTCTCTTCTTCCCTCTGTTCTGACTCAGCCCTATGCACCTCAACCTCAGAGCCTTCCTGTGAATGAGTCTCACCTTTAACACTGCCAGTCATAAAGACAAGGCCTGCCTGACTCTTTGCCCTCTCCCCTCTGTCTTCTTCCTTTTCCATCCTTCCTCTCACTCCATGATCCCTGACCTACCCTGCTTATTCCTGAGGGGAAGGAGTGAGGGACAAGTCCCTGGCTTTCCCAGGTACAATGAGATAGGATCATGTACTCAGAGCAGACACCTGAGCTAGTGCCCTGAGGTATGAGAGGAAGGCAAGGGTGATGGCAAAGTGCACCACTGGCCTTCCCCCTGCCCTCTTGCCCTAGTCTTGCTGCCTCTCCCACCTCCACCCCTCTGCTCCTAGACTCCAGCAGGAAATTGCAGGGAGACATTCTGAATCCATTAGGAAATTAAACTAGATGCTAAAGCATCTCCCCATTCTGAGATTTTATAATCCTGGGCTTTTGGAATGAAAAAGCAAGTTGGAGTTCACTCTCCTGCAGGCTGGCCCTTTGGAAATAGTACGTGGGGTGTTCTACTCATTTCTGTGGTCCATACTGAGATGTTGCTATACTTATAAAGGTAGAACTCTTATAAAGAGATTCAGACTCTTTCTTCACCTGTTCCCTTCTCCCCCACCCTTTCTTGGATCCAGGAGGGATATTTGGAGAGCTTACCGCTTGATCCAGGAGACCATTCTCATCCGAATCATAGAGATGAAACATGACTGCAAGAAACACAGAGATGAGGCTTGAGGAGTCCTCCAGGCACCAGGGACTAGCTCAAGCTCTGTTGCTGTCAGTTTTTAGATCAGCTCTGACCATCGCTAGGGCAAAGGCTTTTGCAGCCAGCTCACCCACCCTCCAAAGGCAGAGAGCCTGACTTTCTTACAGAGAAATGGGAAGAGGGAAGAGAGCCAAGCCACCTGGCTCTGGGACTAACTACGCACTAACTCTGTGGCTGATGAGACCCAGGTCATGAGTGTGACTCCCTGTAGAGCATTCACACTTCTCAGCATCAGTGGAACACAACTCAGAGCAAATGCCCAGCTGGTGGTGGGGCAGGGGCACCAGAATTATAGGTGGAACATGACTTCTATTGCATGGAGAAGGGTGCGGAGTTAGGCAGATTCACATCTTGACTCCCTACCACCTTTAGGGAGTCAAGTAAATCATTCGGGCTCAGTTTCTTCATCTGTAAGATGGAAACTATAATAGTTTCTTTGTCTTAGATTTTTAAAAATGAAGAATATGTAAATCATATGCCAAGTATACAGTGCTTGGAATGTAGAAAGCACTCAATAGATGTTATTTATTTTTATTTTATTTCTTAAAGAACATTTATATGTGGCATTTAATTGGCACAAGGCAGTTTATCATTATTCGTCATTTAAGCTTCCACAGTGCTATGAAGTAGTTACTATTACAGAAGCTATTGTATTTCTTTTTCTAAAGGAATAGTATGTCAGAACGCCGTTCACAAACATACTCTATGATGTCCTTGTAGTAGAGAGGTGATACAGGATAAGGAAGACCTGGGAGAAAAACTGGAGCAAAGGACTAGATGTTCACTTATGGGACCTGGAAACTTGCACTTCATTCATCTAAAAGGTAGAGATCTGTCTGTGGTCTCAGAAGGAAACAAGGTTGGGAGCAGAGCCAAACGTGTCTTCGTGTTCCTCCCATTCTCTAACACCCTTGCTCAGGCCTGCTTTCTCTGTGAGCCTCCCTGACCGACCCTTCCCCCACACAAGTCTTCGGATCTCCCTGCATGCACCCACAGGGTCACAGCACTCCTTAACTCCCTTCCACATGTGTTAACGTCTCTACAGCTTGTGTTTGTTCAGTATCGCATCCCTGGTAGGAGTTTAAGTTGTTTAAAGTAGGGTCATGGGCTTCGGATTCCTTGTGACTCCTCGGAATGCCCTGGTCAGAGGCACTTAGCGCATGAGGCTGACTCGCCAGGTGGTTCAATCATGTAAAGAAGGACAGACTCCCCACTCTGTTGCTCTTGAACCCTGGGTGGGGGTGACTCTAACATGAAGCTCTCCTGGTCTTACTGTGTGTGAAGAGTTGAAGCAGAAAGTGTGAGTAAGCATCCTATCTTTTAGCAGCCAGGCCTTGGACAAGTCATTTAACCACTCTGTGCTTTCTTACATGTAAAATGAGGATAATTATAGCCACTGTCTAGGGCTACTACAAAGTTAAAGTGGGATAAGGCACTTAAAATGCTCAGCAAGTATAAGGCATTTAATGATGAGAATTATTGTTATTACAGCAATGATGATAGTTGGGATTTCAGGCAATTATTTCAAAAAAGATCCATGTTTGGTTATTAAAAAGAAAAGGTTAACTTGTTTTTAATTATTAAAATCAAGGGAGAATTTGAATTTATTTGATTTAATTAAAGAAACAAACAAATGAAAACTCTACAAGACAAATGGCCAAGTTTCTGTAACAACAACAACAACAAATTGCAAGGGAAAAAAATAGACAAAAGATTAAAGGAGACTGAAGAGACATAATGATCAATGGCAATGTATGGACCTTACCTGGATCCTGAGTCAAACAATTAAAATTATATAAGATAATTGGGAAAATGTGAATATTGACCGACTATTTGATAATATTAAGGAATCATTGTCTTTGGATGTGATAATGGTATTGTGGTTATATTTAAGAATAAGTCATATTGCCCTGCCAGCAAGACTCAGTGGTTGGGCATTGACTTAGGATCCAGGAGATTGAGGTTTGATTCCCAGTCAGGGCACATGCCTGGGTTGTGGGCTTGATCCCCAGCAGGGGGCGTGCAGGAGGCAGCCGATAAATGATTCTCATCATTGATGTTTCTATTTCTTTCTCTCCCTCTCCCTTCCTCTCTCTGAAATCAATAAAAATATATTTATTTTTTAAAAAAGAAAAAGTAATATTTTAGAGGTACACACTGAAGATTGTATTATAGATTAAATTACAAACTAAATTACAGATTAAATTACATGATATTTGGAATTTGCTTCAAAATAATCTGGGGCAGAGGGAATGAGTGAGAAGTGTAAATAAACCATGACTGACAATAAACTGGTAATTGTTGAAGGTGGCTTATCGGAACATTTAAATTCATTGTACTGTCTACTTTTATCTATGTTTGAAATTTTCTATAATAAATTTTTTTAATATGCAGTTTCTTTTTATTTGGCAGTACAAGACTGAGTCTGAGAGCCACTAATATGAAGCATCTGTCACATCCTCTTTGGTAGTTATAAACAAATATAATGCCTGAAACTCAAAATCCAGTTGAACAGTGGAATTAATTTGACATTTCACTTTTAACATTAGCCAGAAGAAACAGAAATCTGCTATACTTGCTTCCAAATTAGTGGCTTAAGACTTGCAACTGTTAACACTTCAAATCTATGGGAGTGATTTTAAGATCAGCTGGTGAGCAAACTTTCATTTTGTTCTTGGCAAGGATTAGCCTTTGTCAGACATTTTCTTGCTAATGTTTAAATTTGTTGACTAGTCTTATCAAATGCTGGAATTTAAAAAAAAATCCTCACTTGAGGATATGCTTTTTCTTTGATTTTAGAAAGGAAGGGAGAAGGAAAGAGAGAAAAACATGGATGTGAGAGAGAAACATCCATCGGTTGCCTCTTGTATACAACCTGACCAGGGTTCGAACCTGCAGCCTAGGTATGTGCCCTGACCAGGAATTGAACCCTTGACCCTTGGGTGCATGGGTCAGTGCTCCAACCAACTGAGCCATACAGGCCAGGGCTAATTTCTGGAATTTTGACTTTTGCTATAATGTGTATGTTTTCCCCTTAATGTTTGCTAAGGTCTTAAGAGAAACCAAAACAATATACATATTTATTTTTAACAAGGTCCTATCACCACCTGTTTTAGAGTTTTCCCATAGGCTCACAGAGGCCGGCTAGACAACTCCTGGAGTGAATCATCTGCAAGACTGTGTCAGTCACTGTGGGCTTTCCTTTCTGTCACCAGCTATTATTTTCCTCCTGAACATATGTTTTTGAAACCAACTTTAGTAGCAGCATGAAACCAAGCTCAACTCTGTTAATTAACTAGCCCTCTTTCTCTAGAGGCCAAAAAACTTGAGGTGGGGGTGGGTGAAAAATGGAAATAAGCTTTAACAAGATGGAGGCTGATTAGATCTCAAGGGGAAAAAAGAATTCTTCATAGTTACAGAGTTTCTTGGGCACAGAATAGGGGAAGGAAGACAGATGCTCAATATCTTCCCTTGAAAAATCTACTTAGAGGAGGTAGCAGCTTCCTGGTTATAGGGTCTCAGGAAGTCCTGCCAGCAAAGGAAGGGAGTCTTGATCCCTTGGGAGACCCCTTTCCTTTCCAAATCCTGGTTCTCAATACCAAGGTCTTGCATGCACTTCCCACTCCCCATACATCTGGTACTGTGCCCCAGGGTGGATTCTAGGAAGTGTTCTTATCACTGCTGAGGACAGAGCAGAAAAACCTACCCAAAGGAGGCAGGATCCATATCCCTGGTCCCAGAGCAAACCCAGGCCAGTTTACAATGATGGGCAGGACACATGACCTTCTAGGAAAAAGCTGAAGCCCCTTGACAGGGTTAGTACTTACACTCTAGCTTGTCCTGTGGTCTCCCTGTCTCCAGCAGGGTCAGGTAACACACAACATCCTTCAGGTACACTGTAGGAGGTTCTGAGCCTGAAGATTGAACAACAAGGTTTCCCAAGGGGGTTGCAGCCACTTGGTCTTTAGCTGGCACTTGCTTCTCAGTGATCTTTGATTCTGTAATAGGCAAAGGAAAGCATTTGGGGACACCTAATTTTTGTAAATATAATTTTTTTTTCATGGTGGAGGCAAGAAGTTTATAGAAGTATCTTAAACACATTGGTTACATAGATATGATCAAATCAGTGGCCCTGAAATCAGTTTGTAGAGTTTATACTCTGAACGGACTTATTCTTATTTTTTTTGTTCCTCACCTGAGGGTATTTTTTTCCATTAATTTTTAGAGTGTGGAAGGGAGGGGAAAGAGGGGGAGAGAGAGATTTATTGCTTCCTCCATATTCCCTGACCAGGGCCAGGGATTGAACCTGCAAGCCAGGTACATGCCCTTGACTGGGAATCAAACCCGTGGCCCTTTAGTGCGCAGCTGGTGCTCTGATCACTTAGCCACACCAGCCAGGGGACATTCTGACTCTTTTAAGTGTCTATATCTTTGTAAGACATTCACCTCTACTCTGAATTTGCAGAAAAGATGTCATATAGTGATCTGTAGGTCATAGAGTGGCTTATAAACTCTTAAAGCCTCAGTTTCTTAATGTGTATGGTGGTGTGATTGTGAAGGCTAAATAAAATGTGTAATAAAGGAGGTGCCTGGCAAATAGATCTTCAAAACAATGTTAGCTGGCTTCCCTAGCTCCTCCTCCCAATTTATGCAAACCTGTGCATATGAATGCTGATGGAAGTCAACCAGAGTAAACTCTTATCTTCTTGCCCTACCCCCTCCAGCCATTCACTGGTGGGGTCATCTGTACCGTAGCCCAAGAACTGTCACCCAGCCTCATAACCCCAGCACATTTGTGTGGCAGGGACCCCAGAGGTGCAGGCAGACAGCATCTGCTCAGGGGTATACAATTACATGGAGGCAGAACTGCTGGTTAGGTTATCCCCTCCACCCCAAGAATGAGGTCTTCCCCACTTCTCCCCAAATTTTGTATTCCACAGACTCACCCGTGTCAGGGGCACAGGCCTCATCTGCTTTGGCAGCATTATCCACATTCTGTATATTAGAATCTGAAGAACAAAGAGAAGATTTAAAGGCCAGCATGCCTCCAGCTTCTTAGAGGGGCAGGTAGAGGAACTTCCCTGAGGTCTGGATCACTTAGGTTATATCTGTGTCTCTGGGTGTCAGCTGGGTTCATGCTTACTTTGTGGGGTTGGCTGTGTGTCCCCCATTATAGCCCAATTTCCAGGAAACAGTGACCACACCTTACCCTTCCTCTGACACTGGTCACAGTCTGGCCACACAAGCTGGATGTGGTCCATCAGGGGCCTGGTAGCCTTCAAGGAAGGCTCTCTTCTCCCTGACATATCGGTCTGCGTTTCTTCTTCCCCCATCTTCCCCTCTGATCCTGAGCAGCAGGAATCATGCCCTTTCCCCACTCTTACCGAGAGATCCATCAGACAGGGCTTCTTGTGAGGCCCTGTGAGGAAAGGAGCCCTGGAGCCCTGGCCTTCAGTCACACCCCAGAGGGAAGTTACTATGCCTGTGGCAAGTGAGTTAGAGCTGCAAAACCCCCTTCCATGTCAGAGACGGTTGGTCCATGTACCTGGGGCACTGGCCTCGCTGTTGCTGGTCCCTTCGTTTGGGTGGTCAGGGATCTCCTGCCTGGGCTTCTGGCTGAAGGCCAGGAAAAGGTGCGTGCTCAGTGGCTGGGGAAGGTCCACCTCCAAGTACTCCCTCATGAACAGCTTGAAGACATCATAACCAATTGTCTGAGAAGGGACAAAGGGGGCAGTCAGAGGAGAGACTCCAAGGACAGGGAGGAGGGAGAGAAGAAAAGGAATTGGGGAGCTGGCAGGCAAGAGAAATGGAAAGGGAAGCAGAAGGAAGTGGAGAGGTTGGTGGGGGCAGGAATGAAAAGGCCAGGAGGTGACAGAGAATGACAGGCACAGGGAGCAGGAGGAAGGATGTAAGGAAGAGAAAACACTGTGGTGTATGTCAGGGCTTAGTGGGGCACGGAACCACAGGAGGCTTTTGTAACAAGACATTGCTAAATTTAGATAGAGAAGGGAGTGACGGAGAGTGAGCGCTGGCCTCTGCCTGAGTGCAGACCCCTGGGAGGGACTTGTCTCCAGTGAGCAGGACTAGGTCAGTGCCCTGGAATCCTGCTTAAGATGAGGAAGCAGGTAGTTGGAAGGAATGGCTCTTCTGTGATATGTCGATTGTCTCCTTGTGCTGTTAGTTAATGTAATTCCTGAGTATTTAGGTCTCAAAAAAGAAGAAAGACAGGGGAGGGAAAAGGAAAGGCTCCATACTTTATTACTCCCATAACTAACCTTCCCTGGACAAACCTCAAGATAACAGGGGAGGGTGTGTGTCTGGCTTAGCTGCTCTCAAAACATGTCCTTGTGAAGGTTTCAGGCACTGGGAGAAGAGCAGGAAGCCAAGGACAGAAGGTAGAACTAAGAAACATGCCAAAAACTAGGACCTCTCCCTGCTGTGTCTGTCCCAGTACCGCCTGGCTCCCGGGCCCAGGCTGGGAGCGACCATGCCAGAGAGGGCTGCTGCTCTCAGCGACGCTCGGCAACGGTCTGCAGTGAGTCATCACTGGCTCGTGCTTTGATGGCATCAGACTCCTCATCACATCGACAGATGCTCCTGGAAGTCACTTGAGGATGCATTACTCCAAGATCTGCTGTGCAGGCTTTTGTGAATAATAACAGCCACGAGAATAAAATCCCTTGTTGGGGGCCCACTTGGCTCTCCCTCTAAAATGTTGACAGCATTGAACCCTTTGTCTCTTCTGGAAGCTCTGGGAGCCTTCCCAGAACCTGGAGCTGGCTTGCATTGTACCATCAGGTTTGGGATACAAAGCCTTGGCCCTAAAAACAAGTGATGCCCTTCTGACCCCACTGGGAAGTCACAAGGCAGTTTCCATGTCGCCCCAGGCTGGGCTGTTCTGTGTGTCTCTTTTGCAGATTGGAGGAAGCCTGATTTGGTTCGAGAGAGGATAGAGCAGGCTCTTACCAGATAAGGGACTTGCAAGCAAATGTTGGACTCATCTTTCCTCTGATAGCTACCAATCTCTGCCTCTATCTCTCTCTGTCTTTTCTGTCCCTAAGTCTCTCTGTCCCTCTATTTCCTCCTCCTTTCGCCCATCTCTGTCTCCATAGCCTCGTCAGCACAGAATGTCTCTTCCTCATGCCTCTTCCTTTCCCCAGGATGCAAGAGCAAAATCCTTTCCTCCTGCTTTCCACCCACTATGACCCTTGGCTCCACCCTCCCTGCCTCTGATGGCATCTCCCAGCATCTGCCTCCCTGCCTGCGAGCATGTTCAAGGCCACTATTCCAAACAAATTGCTGGCTAGTCGAGCTACTTACTAGGCTGTCCTTCTTCCCTTCCCTTTCAAAATTTCTCCACAGCAGACCACATTAGGCTCCTCACCGTCTTAACCTCATTCGCTTTGGGTTCTAGCCCATCCCCTCTGAACCTGCTCTCCTGAAGGTCACAGATGCGGTTGTCCCTTTTTAGACTTTCTCACCTTTGGCTTCTCTGCAGCACTCCATTCAACTTTCTTCTTGAAATTCTCGATTTTCCATGGTCTGGTAATATTTTGGTTCCCTTCTTTGATTTGACTGTTTGCTGACAGCACTCTTATTCATTTATTTAAAAGCTCTTTTTGCATTGTTTTTTCTTTTGTGCTATTTTAGTTGACAGGTACTGTTTAAAATGTAGTTTTTGTGTTCCAATCTTTTTTTTTTTTTTTGGTTAGCATCAAATTGAAAACTATTAGCATAAAACAGTTCTGGAAAATAGACAGTACCAAATGATTTAATAAAAAGAACATTCAGTTAAATAAAGTATAATGTAATGCTCTTTATTTTTTAAAAATTAATTAGCTAATTTATTTTTCCATCACCGTTCATCCTTTCTTGCCCTCTTCCACATCCCGCCATCCCCTTCCCCCCGTAATCACCATGCTGTTGTCCATGTCCACAAGGTTTTTTTCCCTTCTTTTCTGTTCGGTCCCCCCATCCTACCCCCCCAAAGCTGAAGGGTCATCAAACAAGGTCAGTGTGAGATTCAGATCTCATGGCTGGTTCCCACTTTTATGAACCTCGGTTTCCTCTTCAGCAAACTGTGAGTGCTAGACTAGGAGACCCCAAGTTCTAAACTTCTATTAGCATCCTCCCTAAACCAGCTCCTCTTCCTGGCCCTGCAGTTTCTGATGCTCTTGTCCACTTCCTGACTGTCTTCAGCTGCACTCTGCTCTCCAGAGAACTCCATGGAGCTGATGGGCCAGCGCACACTGGTCACTGCCAGATGTGGCCCTGCCACTCTGCAAACTTCTATTCCCCTCCTTGTGTTCCTAGTAACCTGCCCCTTCCCATAGCTAACTTGTTTCTCATTGAGGCATTTTAGCAGCAGTAAGCCATCAAACTCAAGAGAAATTAAACCCTGTTGTTTCCCCAACCCCACGCCAGGCCGTTACACCTACTAGAAGTCAGCCACACTGTGAAAGGGAATGAGATCAGAGTGGCAGAGCTCCCCTGGGACACAGCAGTACCAGGCATACAAAGAGTGGGGGCCGTCATGATGGAGATGGGGGCGGCAGTGTGCTCATAACAGCCGAGCTGCTGCTCCCAGCTTCTGAAAGCTCCTGTGGCCTTCACACCTTGGGTGGCCCTGACCACATTGTTCCCCTCCCACTTGTCAGCCTCAGGGCGGACAGGTTGATTAGCAGCCCCCGCAAGGCTTTGTTCCTGTGCTTTTGGATCTGGGGTGGAAGGTGGGGGGAGACAGAGTTCTTTAATGGCTCTGCCATCTTCCCCGCCTGGCTTCTCCTCAGGAATGGTTTTGAAATGGTGCATTCTCAGTCTTCGATTCCAGCAACCTTCGTCTGGCTTTCTACTCTTGGTGATTGGTGCATTTTATCCAAAGACCTTCCCACATGTACCTGGAGGGCACGGGCTCTGTTGATTCTTTCCCAGTGCCCAGCAGAGAAGTTGACTCAAGGTTTTGAAAGGATGGCATTGTGAATAAATAAGTGGCCAGCCTTTCCTCAAGTGTGTCCTGCTGATCAGTCACTTTTCTGCAACTGGCTCTCATAAAAGGACCCAGGACCAGGAAAGAGGGAGTTGAGTTGAAAACATTCTGGGGAACTGGGACAGAAGGAGAGTAATAATGGGTACCATTTTTTAAGTGTTAGACACTTTGCAAAAATCATCTCATTTAATCTCCTATCTGTAAACTTCAAGGTCTTTTTTGTTGTTATTGTTATCTTCAGGTCACAGATGAAAAACTGAGGCTCAGAGCAGTGAAATACTATTCTAGGCCACATTGCTGGCTGGCAGCAGAGGTAGGGGTCTAACATTAAACCAGATGAGTTCATGGTCATGGCTCTTAAACTTGACCCTGTCAGTAGGAAGTAAGTTCCAGAGGGCAAGAACTGTGTTTTCTCATCTTTATATCTTCTGCAGTGTCTGGATGTTCAAGAAATGTTAGATGAGTTGAATTTGAAAGTGGAGGAGGCCTTGCATTCATTTATTTATTCAACAAATATTTGCTGAGTGCCTGCTATGTGCCAGATACTCTTCTGGGCCCTTGAGATACAGCAGTGAACAAATACATGTCTATACAGAGATAGACAAAAAAGTGAGTTACATAGTGTGACAGATGGTGAGGCTTACTAAGGAAGAAAATAAGGAGGGTCAGGGGGATAGAGAAGGTGATATTCATTAAGGACATTATTTGAGCCAACACTTGAAGGAGGTGAAAAATGAGCAATGTGTTTATTTGTGGTAGGAACATTCTAGGAAGAGGCAAAATCAAGTGCAAAGGTGCTGAGGTTAGAGTGGCCTTGGCTTGTTTGACAGCATCAAGGAGGCTAATATGGCTGGAAAGGAATGAGAAGAAGAAGATTAGCAAGAGATGGGGTCAGAGTGTAGGGGGAGGTGCAGATTGTAATGATCTTGACTTTCATTCTGAGTAGGGGGTGGGGGGAACCATGAGAGACTATTGAGCAGAACAGTGACATGATCTGACTTAAGTTTAAGCAGATTGCTCAGGATATGTGTGAAGAATAGACGTTAAAAGTCAAGAGCAGAAACAGGGAGCCTAGTTAGGAAACTACTGCAATAATCTGGGCAGAATATGGGATGACTCAGGTCAGGGTGACAGCATTGCAAGTGGTGAGATGTGGCTAGATTTTGGTTATATTTTAAAGGTAGAAGTGACAGGGTTTGCTGATGAACTGGATGTGGGATGTGAGAAAAAAAAAAGTAAATGATGACTCCATAGTTTTAGGTTGAATAACTTGAAAAATGAAGTTGTCATTTACTGAAAATGAGAAGGCTGCTGGAAAAACAGGTTTTACAGGGGAAGATCAAGGAGCTCAGTTTAGTGCATGTTAAGTTTGAAGTGCTTATTTGATTTTTAAACCAGGAGGGAAACCAGGAGAATGTGGTTTCCTGAAAACCAAGTGGAGAAAGTGGAGGAGCATTTGGCCAACCATATCCAGTGCTGTTGAGTAAAGTGGCTATTGATTGTAGCCACATGGAGATCCCTGTCTATCTACACTAGTGGTTTCAGTGGAGGAGTAAGGGCTGCATGCTGATTGCAGAACTTTCAAGAATGTAGGAAGGAAAGAAATTGGAGGCAATGAGTATAGACAAATCTTTCACACAGCTTTGCTATACAGGACAGGAGAGAAATGAGGAGGGAGAAGCGGAATCAGGAGAACATCTATAATATAGGAGAGATGTTTATATATTGATGAGAAAAATCAAATATATAGGAGAAAACTGATGTGAATGAGTTAGAGATAGAAATAGATGATGATGACAGATAGATAGATAGATGATAGATAGATAGATAGATAGATAGATAGATAGATAGATTAGATAGATGATAAAGTGTTGCTGAAGCAATTCCTGTCAATAGACCAAAAGAGGATAGGATTGAGTGCACAAGTGAAGGGGCTAGAATTAAGAGCATGGAGATTTCATCACTAGTTATAGGAAAAAAGGTATGTAGGTGAGTGCAGACTGTGTGGTAGATCTCTTCTGACTGTTTCCATTTTCTCATGAAGTAGAAAACACAGTGGTTAACTGAAAGTGAGGAGGGATAGGAGTGAGAGATTTGAGAAGAGAGAGGATATAATGCCATTTTCTAGGATAGTGAGAAAGTGAATCGACTGGGGAAATGTGTAATTCCAGATAGCACCAATGGCTCACTTGAGACAGGAGAAAATATGTTGAGAAACAAGTTCTTCAAAGTGAGCTAAACTTCCAAGAGGAGAACAAATTATGGAAAGGCTGGAACATGGAGTTTTTAAAGGCTTGAAATGAAAATGTTCTTACCTCGTGTGAATCATATTGTTTGAGGCATCCACTCTTATTAAATTCAGCCAAGACATCCTTTATCTTCTTGGAAGAATCTGGAGAGACATAGTCCACACTTGAAACCCAGGTGAATAGCTAATGGGAGGTGGGCCCAAGTAAATTCTCCCTGTCTGACCTTGGCTATGATGGAGCAGCTCCTCATTTCCAGGACCATACAGATAAATGTCACCCTTATCTACCCTTCTGCCCTCTCATTTGTTTTTTTCAGTATATTCTCTCTCTTGCTGTATGAACCATTTTACTAAAATACAAATCCAATCAGTTCATGTCCCTGCTCAAAAACTTTTCAATGGTTCTCAGTTTTTATAGGACAGAGCATAACCCCCTAATCTTCATATATAAGTACTTGGTAATCTGATCTAGTCTATTTCTTAACTCTAACCTTAGCTTTTCATTTTTTTTGCCACATCAAACCACATTTTCAGAAATCTCTGAATAAACTGTGTACTCTTCATGGTATTTCTTCTCTGTATTACAAACCTTACTCGATTCTCAGGATCCAACTCAATTATCAACTCACTTGTAGAGCCTTCCTTTACTGGTCAATTAATCATTCCCTTCCCTGGTTCTCTTGAGACTTGTACATAACTCTGTAACAGCACTTGTCATATAGTGTTATAATTATTATTGACTTATCTATCTTGCTCATATCCTGCTTTAGTACTACATTGAGAGCTGCAATAGACTAGTGATTCTTTGTATATCATACCAAAAACATTTGAACAAATATTTTAAAACATTTAAATTTTTGTTAATTAAATAGGATGGGTGGTGGGCATTACGCCTTGTGAGACTCTGTCCTTGGTGCTGAAACGGAACCTCAGGATTCATGAAAAATAGTGGTTTAGAAAATTCTGCTTTCCATAGGAAATAAAAAACTACTGGAAAAAAAATGGTGGATTCTTTTTGTGGGCATGTTTATAAAGAAATTAGAAGTCAAGAAAAGAGAGTCTATAATTGTTATTAGAAACACATTCTGAGTGCATCCCGTGTAGTTACCAACATTCTAGACATTCAAGAAAAGTAGACTTTCTGTGCTCTCCTTGTCTTGCAGTATTCTGGATAATTAAGAGCTTTTTAAGCTCCGTTATTGCCACTAGTTAGACATCTGAGCAAAGGACAATGTCATTAAAAGCTGACAGAGTGTTCTTTGGTTTTCAGGCTCTTTGTACAGAGGGCTATGCTCTCTTAGGCCTACGTAAAGGAGACATGCTCGTGGGCTGGGCTGGGCTGTTCTCCATGGCATTGCTGACTTGGATTCAATCAAGCACAAGTTATAATCATTTCAAGATTGAGACATATTGAAATGCTACAGGAAAAAGCTGCTGATGCCTAAAAATGGACATTCTCTCTCAAAGTCAAAACAGATGTTGAAAAACTAATAGCTCAGTGAGTTCCAGGCAGCAGATGCCATCAATTTGGGCTGCTTCCATTCAATTCAGAAAACACTTCTTCGCAGAATAAGATGCTGTGAGGTACTGTTGATGAATTAGTCAGGGAGATGATTGAACCATTGTGGTAATAATAGCTTCCTTTTATTGGAGACATTTACTGCATATTCTCATATACTACCTCCTACCAATCTATGCTCGTTTGGTAATATTTTCATCAATTTACTGATGAAGAACATGAAATTCAGAAAAATTAAGCTACTTGCCTAAGAGTCAAGGTTTTAACTCTGGTCTAGTCTGGCTCAAAAGACTATATTACTTAAATATTACTTCCCAAACATTTGCTAACACAAGAAAAAGTGCAATTAATGCTGTAGAAATAATATAAAGCTCTGGGAAGCATGGAGAGGAGGAAGTAAAATGAGTGGGGAGGAAGTCAAATTAGGATGAGAGCGGTGTTGGGATGAAGACTAGGGATGCCCTATGAAGAAGGTACCATTTGAACTGGAGTGTAAAGAATGCATAAGGTTTTGAAAGGCAGACAAGGTGGAAAAGGTATTTTCAGAAGGGACAGGGTGAGCAAATGTGGAGATGGACATCACAGGACATTTAGGAAAAGTTAATACCAGAAAGTAGTTTGGGGCCAGATTTGTGGGGGCCAGATTTGAATGCCAAGTTAAGAACATTGATTTAAAACTGTTAAAAAATGTTTGAGTAATGGAGTAATATAACTGGGTCTCTGTTTTCTAAAGGCCACTCTGGCAACCATATGGAACAGAGTTTAGAACTAGGCCAGAGCTCAGTTAATGCCTTACATAAATTATATTCAAATTGTTTTATGAGCAGCTTAATTTAAAAAACAAAACAAAAACCTTACATTTTAGAATCTATTTTAATGGCAGATTTTCAGCTCAGCCAAAGTTGCCAAATTAAAAAAAAAAAGCAAATTTTGGAGCTTGAGTCCTCCTGGTGTGTCTTCTGCAAGAGTAGTGTAGAGCCAGCATTTTGATTGAGAACACAGAGAATAATTTCACTTGAATTTATACTCCTTTGATTATTGTGACATTTTGGAGATTCCACAGTTCATCCTAGCAGAAATCTTTTGGTTCTGAGCACTATTGACCTAATTCTGCTTTATATTTAAATATATGAGATATATATATCTACATGTAGATATATATCAATATGTATAGATATATACTGATATGTAAATTATATATATATACACACACACCACACACATGTGTATATATATGTTTATATATATACACATCATCTACACATATATTCACCTTATGTTCACATTCAAGTAAACAGATTTTAATAAGAAGAAATAAATATTTTAAAATTTCTGATTACTAACCTAAAATTAAGTAGCAAAATAATGATGCCAGAGATGGCTGGCTCCTAGATTTCCCTGAAAGGTCTTCCTCACTGCACATTTACTTCAATTTCTTTTTTGAGCTTTTATAAGCTCATAGCAGCATTGCCTTTACCTTTTAAAAAAGAAACAATTGCCCTGGCAGGTAGCTCAGTTGGTTAGAGTGCTGCCCCGATACACCAAGGTTGCAGTTCGATCCCTGGTCAGGGCACATCCAAGAATCAACCAATGAGTGCGTAAAGGAGTGGTACAACAAATCAGTCAATCTCCCCCTCTCTCCCTTCCTCTCTCTAAAGTCAATAAATAAAAATGTAAAAAAAGAGAAACAATTTAATTCTCAAGTATGATATCCATTACTTTCTCCTGGATGTCTTTTGAGACTTTTTCAGTTTTCTTTTCAACAGATTTCTGGACTGGGTTTCTCTCTCCTGAGGAGCAAGTGGGTACTGCTCCATTCTGTTTCGTCTTACCACAGTTAAAAACAATTAGGGGCTTCTTCAGATCACTTCTGATCTTACTTCAGGTGCCACCTGTGGGCCCACTAACAGAAGCTCAGTAGACAACTCCCTTTCAAAGCCTGTATGGTAACACCACCACTAGACTCAGAGGAGATCAAGCTCCACCTCTAAATGTACAAAGTAGGGCCATGTCCACCATGCTCTGCAACAATTTCTATTTCGTTGAGTGCTAGACATTGTCCTGGTCACCTTATATATTTTATTTAAATCTCCACAATGAGCCTCTAGTGTAATAATTATCTCAATTTTAGAGAAGAAAAAACAGGTTTGTGGAATTTAAATGACTCTTTCAAGGGCACACAGCTAGTGAGTGGGTTACTCTGATTTTTAACCTATCTAATATGTGACTCAGGTACTGGATTCATTGGCTACATGAATGCTGGTCAATCAGAAAGTAAGGCCTTTCCTCTATGACAGTGGCTCTCAAACCTGGCTGCAGGTTATAATCACCTGGGGAGTCCTATAACTCATTGAAACCTAGGTCTCACCCAGACCAATGAAGTCAGCATCTTTTGGGGAACCCAGGAATCAGTATATCTGAAAGCACCCTGCAGGTTCAAATGTACAGTCAAGGTTGAGAACCACTGTGCAATGATAGGATTTTATTGTGAGACACCAATAATGCTTTAAGTAGCTGAACATATTGGATAATTCCAGCAAAAGGAAAAAAGTTTATCATTCTGCTAAATCTTAAATCAGTGTGCTTGGCAGGCATTCCCTGTTGTTTAAATCGACAACACTAAAGAACTCTACCCAATAGGTCAACTTATTCAAATGCTTGGCAAAGTAGGGATATGTTTTGCATTAGCCCAAACTGGCAACACCATCAGCATGCAGTTTTACCCCAAATCAGAGGTTTAAAAAGCTCTTCTCTGTGATTGAGATCACTGGTGGTAACAAATACCTAAGGAAGTTTCAATCCAAAATTGTCTCTTTATGCTTTATGTGCCAAGAATTCTGGGACCTTAACCAAGCACTTGTTATTAGTGTTTGAGCAAATTCAAAGACCTTTTAAGGAGAAAAGTTGGCCCTTCTCACAGGCACCTTTGCTGCCACATTTGTGTGGGACAGGGATGCCCTCCGTCTGCACAAGCAGACAAACCAGGAGCTTCAGTGTTTATAGTCTATGTGCTGCTGAAACTAGAACCCAACCTTTATGGACTATCTTCCAGGTAAGAACACTGAGTATCTGAGCCCTAGTCAGAACACTAAACTTTGAAATAACTATAAATCAACATTCTCAAAAGTGAATCTGAAAACCCACAGATGCGAGTGAAATTCTAAGGTATATAATAACTCTCCATTCCTCAAACTAAGAGCGACTCAAACTGTAACATGCATGTGAATTGCCTGGGGATCAGGTTTAAAGCAGATTCTGACTCAGCAGGTCTGGGCTTGGGCCTGGGATTCTGCATTTCAAATAAGATTCTAGGTGACATCAAGCATGTAGGTCCATGAACCTCACTTTTGATGAGCAGGCCTTAAATAACTTCCCTGTATATCTGTGGCTGACTAGTAAGGCTTGCCTACCACAACACAGTACAACAACAAGAAAAACAAACAAGCAAACATGATGATGAGGCTAGAGGAACGTGTTCTACAGACTGAGAAGACCATAGATGACTCTCTACCCATGGAGGGAAAGACACAGAGAGGGGGCAAAGAAAGTTGGTACATGAGGGGGAAAAAACAATTAGATTTTCCTTCTTTTGGTGAAGGCTGAGATGTGGAAGTTTTCTAAGTAT